CGGCCCCCTGCCTGTGTCTGACGCCCGCTCTGCTCTTCCAGACATAACAGCTGGGAGCCGGAGGAGAACATCCTGGACCCGAGGCTGCTCCTGGCCTTCCAGAAGAAGTGAGAGAGTTGGCAGCACACACGGCGAGGGGAGGGGGCAGTGCTGGGGGAATTGTCCTGGCTCAGTGGTCTGAGGTCCCCAAGGCGGACTATGCTATCTGTATGGCACTCTGTCCTGGCTGTGCCTGGCAGTCCCTGAGGCAGTGCTGTTTGTGCCTGTGTTAGCCAGAATCCGCTCTTTTGTAGAAAGGTCTGGCTTCTCCAGTAAGTTGCAGGCAGCACTCAAAAGCCAGGATGTCTGGCTTGTCGTAAAAATTGAGGCTGTCTGGCCCTGCTCGTGTGCCATGGGGCCGAGAAGGCTCAGACCTGGGGCACACGTGCAGAGTTAGGCCTGTCTCCATGTCTCCCGGGTGTTTTGCTCTGGGCTGACAGATGGGCAGCACTGAGTGGGAGCTGGAGGGGCCCTGCTGCCAGACTTGGGCAGAATTTGTAACTGTAATTCTAGATGTCGCTTCTATTTTTAGGTAGGAGACTGGGGTTAAGAGATAGGCCTCCTTGAGGTGGTCAAGGAAAACGCGTGGTGGGGCAGGCCCAGGAGTGCCAGGGGTGTGGGTGAGAGGGCTGACACCTTCCCACTGGGGTCAGCTGGCAGGCTTGTTCCCGGGTGACTCCAGTTGTGTTCACCCTTCTGGAGGGACATTCTGAGGTCCCAGAAGTTCGTAACAGTGGGAAATAAAGATAGGCTCTTGGCTGGGACCGTGGGAGGTAGGCGAGCATGTGCTTAGATGCAGGAAAAGCAGACAGCAACCCCAGTGCCACCGTCCTAGTTCTGGATCCTGTGAGACGGGTGCCAGGAAGGGTGGCTCGAGGCATCTGGGGAGCTGGTACATCTCCACACGTAAAGCTCCCAGCTGTTGACAGGTGAGTCCTTAACCTTGTATTTAGAAGAGCAGACAAGGGAGACATCAGGAGATAGAGTTTTTAAAACCATGAAATGGGGGCCAACTGGTGTTACGGTGGTTAAGACAGCCGGATCCCACAGGGCTGACTTTGCAGTTTGAATCCTGGACCCAACAGCCTGAAAAACATGTGTGATGCCCCCAAATCTTGAGAGGAGTAGGGAGGGAAAGGGATGGTGGCGTGGCCAGCGCCCCTGGCAGGGGGACGACACATTCCCGCTTCCCTGTCTTACTCTCTCTCTCCAGGGAGTGGATGCACCCCATGGCAGAAATCTGAAAAAGCTATGGGATGGGGACCAGCAGTTAGCATAATGGCTGTGTCGCTGGACTCCCACGTAGTCGACTATGGTTTGCGTCCCGGACCCAGTGGCTTAAAACTCACGCCAGGCGCTTGTGCGGGCGTGCCCAAGATCCCGAGAGGAGAACGGAGGAGAAGGGGTTGCGGCGTGGCCATCCCCCCTGGGGGGTGTTTTCTCGCTGTCTGTCTGGCGAGCGCACACGCCCTATATAAAAAAAAAAAAGCCATGGGATGATCAGGGTTACGTGATGGAAGGAAGGAAGCCAGGATGTGGGCGTTCTGCTTTCTGCCGTCCACCAGAAAGACAGTTACCCTGGACTCTGGGAGCTGGCGGTTATTTGCTGGCTTGAAGGTGGGGCCACATAGCCATTGCTTGTGAGGGCCCGTCCCAGAGTCAGCACTTGCTGGGTTGGTGTGCCTGTGGAGGGTCCCACGAGATGCCTGGTCGTCCTTGTAGGAGGTGCGAGCCAGGCCTAAGCTTTGGAACGCGGGCTCTGCCAGGTCTTGCTAAACCAGACTTTAAGAGGGCACCTTGGAAGAGATGGCGTTTGTCCTTTGTAATTACCCGTCTTCTGACACACACACCGCCTCCAGGAGCTACATGCTGTGTTCTCGGTGGCTACATGACCTTGAAGGCACAGGGCTAAGGGGGTCCTACGGGGTGCAGGCTTTGAACCTTGGGCACCTCCACTACTTCTGTCTAGAGAGTTGGAAACCACAACTTTTTGTTTTGTTTTATTTTGCCATAGGTAGGGTATGTGAGTTTGCCAGAAGCAGAAGGAAAGTGAGAAATCACCCCCCCAGTGGTGTGGCCCTACCCACAGTGCTGCCCATCTGTTAGCCTCCTGGGATTTGGGGTACATACCCATACGTGCCCAGCATGATTTTTTTTTCCTTAATTTAAAGTGAGAAACCCCCCAGGGGGGTGACCGTGACACAATCCCCTCTTCCACTCTCGCCTTGGGATTCTGGGCATTGCACACACATACCCAGCAGGAGTCCACCTTAACTTCTACATCAGTCACTGGTCCCTACGCAGCCTGGTTTTTGAGCTTCTGAGTCTAGGACTTAAACCATGCTCAACCATGTAGAGGTCCAGTACCTTTTTTTCTTGGTGGATATTTTTGCTACAGGACATGTGCACTGGCCAGAGAGATAAAAAGCAAGAAATCACCCCATTCTCCTCTCGGGGTCTTTGGGGTGCATGTGCATGTGCCTGGCATGAATTGGGCACCACAAGGTCTGAACCGCCGCTGGCCATGTGGCAGTCCAGTGCCTTAACCATCCCACCACCAGCCAGCCCCAAGGAGCAGCAAGGTTTTTAGGAGAGGAGAACAGGAGAGCCTGGACTCCGCGGTCCTCTGAGAGCCAGGAGAGGTGTCCGCATGCAGGTGCTGGGTGTCATCTAGCCCTGGGCCACCTCCTGTTTAAGGTCAAACCGCTGTGAACGCAGAGGCAGCTTCTCAGGAGGTGCTGAAATGCCCATGAAACATTCTATTTGCGGGATATTATCTTGAAAGGGATGAGAGGAAAAAATGAGGGCTGATTATTTCTCAGCTTTGCTTTAATTTCTTGTCTTTATCCAAATGCACATGAAACGGAATGGTTATAAAAATAATACCCTGTAGGGGCTTCAAAAATTTTGTGGAGAATATTAAAAACAGTATGCATGGATTTCTTTTTTTTTTTTTTTTTTTTTTTTGGCACCAAAATTAATTTGTACTTTAATTCCATTTCCTGCAAACCTTTTGAAGTCCCCTTGCATTTGCAAAGAACGGGTCTGGACCTCCTCTGCCTTGGGCGTTTGGCTAATAGGATCGGTTTTTGCAGCAAACTGGTGATAAGCTGCTATGGGGAGAGGCAGGGAAGCGGGTGGAGGGGTCGGGTGTTCAAAGGGGGTCTGTGCACAGGCCTTACCCCACACCCGTCTGTGTGCATCTTCAGGGAGCAGGAGAAGGAGGTGCAAAACCGGAAGAGAGGCAAGAGGCCGAGGGGGCGGCCGAGGAAGCACACCGTGATGTCCTCCTGTGGCCGGCGCTCCAAGCTCAAGGTGTGTGACTGCTCACCTCTCACCTGCCCTGGGCATCGGGGAGGCTAGAGGGCTATGGGCCAGGGCACAGGCGGGCTCTGCAGTTCTGCAGAAGTCTTCCCTGCTACAGAGACAACAGTCTCTTTTCTGATCACCTCTCTAAGGGATAGAGGACACCAGCAAGCTGCAGGGCTTTCCCTGCCCCTATGGGGACCCCGTGGCACAGAGATTCTCAGGTGGCCTCTTTCTGTCAGGGTCCACTTTGCAGTCTATCCTACTGGGCATCTCTCTCTCTCTTTTTTTAAGAATTATTTTATTTAACTTTATTCATTTGTTATTTTAATTTGACCGGAGAGGGAGGGGGGCAGCATGAGAGAAAAGGCGAGAAAGCTAGCCACCAGGTCCGAGACTCGAACCATGGTCAGCCACGTGGGAATCCAGCACCCTTAACCACAACGCCACCTGCTGACTCCCTGCTGGGCATCTCTTGCCCACTCCAGGGGCTCATCAGAACAGAGAAGCACAGAGAGGTGTGACTACAGCGGGCCTCAGGGAACCCGGGGTGGCCTTGGGGCCGGCTCAGGCCACTGTTGAAGGGGAGAGGGTACGGGAGTGCTGTGTTGGTGCCCTCCTGCTGTTGGTGACAGGTGGAACAGATAGGAAGGGGCTCCTGGCCTCGGTCTGGGGTGTCTTTGAGTCCTTTCCCCAGGGCGCTGACCCTAGGCCCACCAAGCTTGGTCACTTAGAAAAGCACCCTTCCTGGGTCCCTGCCGCTGCACCTTTGGCCGGTCCACACAGGCTGTATGAGGGGTCCTCCTAGGGTGCTGCAGTGGGGCCTGCCACGGAGGGGAACTCCAGGTTGGGCGTGACCACCCACTTCTCCCTCAAGGGCACCTTTAAATTCTGGTCCAGCAAGGGACACGAGGCCTAGGAAACAGGACACCCTCATTTAGCATGTGGAGTGACGCTGGAGAATGGAGAGGGCCAGAGCTGGGTCTTCTGGTCCTGGGGGGTGGGCACGAGATGCTCTGAGGCCAGCGTAGGTGACCAGGTGAGTCTGTGCGTGCCGCTGTGCCCAGCCCTTGCCCTGTGGGACAGGTGCCTCGTGTCACTCCGGACATCCTTCTCCTTCCGTTGGCAGCTCAGTGGCCTGGAGCTCGATCCCTGTCCCCCGAAGGAATGTGCAGGCAGTGTGAGGGCGCTTTCCTGCCATCACCGACTGCGCTTTTCAGTGCCTGGTTTTGTTTTTCCCTTCTGCCTTTAATCTCACATGTCACAGAGGCTCTGGGGACCTCACAGCTGCCCGGAGCAGGGTGGTCAGGAGGTGCCAGATCCTCGGAGTGAGTAGCCGGTCCTGAGACCAGGTGGCAGAGGTGTGACGCTGTCCCTTCATCTTCCAGGAACCCGATGCTCCCTCCCAGTCCAAATCCAGCTCCTCCTCATCCTCCACGTCCTCCTCCTCCTCCTCAGACGAGGAAGAAGACAGCGACTTAGATGCCAAGAGGGGCCCCCGGGGCCGCGAAACCCACCCAGTGCCTCAGAAGAAAGCCCAGATCCTGGTGGCCAAGCCAGAGCTGAAGGACCCCATCCGCAAGAAGAGGGGACGCAAACCCCTGCCCCCAGAGCAGAAGGCGGCCCGGAGGCCTGTCAGCCTGGCCAAGGTGCTGAAGACTGCCCGGAAGGACCTGGGTGTCCCGGCTGGCAAGCTGCCCCCTCCTCTCAGTGCCCCAGTGGCGGGCCTGGCGGCCCTAAAGGCCCACACCAAAGAGGCGTGCGGCGGCCCAAGCAGCGTGGCCACGCCAGAGGACCTGAGTGGCCTGATGAAGGGCGTAGCAGGGGGCCCTGGCCGCGGCGGGCTCAGCTGGCAGAGCTCCATCGTGCACTACATGAACCGCGTGAGCCAGAGCCAGGCCCAGGCCGCCAGCAGGCTGGCACTCAAGGCCCAAGCCACCAAGTGTGGCCTCGGGCTGGACCTGAAGGTGAGGACGCACAAGGGGGGGGCTGCGCTGAGCCCCCCGGGAAGCAAAGGCCCAAAGGCCCCCAGCAGCGGGGCTGCAGAGCAGAGGCCGGGAAGTGCAGGGGGGCCTCCGCACATCCACGGCACCCAGCCGGCACCCACCCAGGAGCTGAGCCTGCAGGTCTTAGACTTACAGAGTGTCAAGAATGGCACACCTGGGGTGGGCGTGCTGGCCCGCCATGCCATGGCCACCAAGAACATCCCCACCACTGGAAAAGCCACCGGGGGTGGTCCTGTCCCAGGGAGCTTAGCCAGCATGCCCACGGATGCCAGCAAGAACGAGAAAGCCTCCAGGGCTACAGCCCTGCCCACCCCCGCGGGCTCTAAGAGGGACTGTGTCAAGGGCCGCTCTGCCGCCAGCGGACAAGAGGGCCATGCGGCCCCAGGAGACGTGCACAAGGCAACGGGGCTGTCTGAGATGAGCACCGGGGAGGAGAACAGCAGTTCGGATTCGGACCCCGACTCGGCCTCGCTGCCTGCTGCTGGGCAGAACCTATCTGTGTCTGTCCAGACCAGCCAGGACTGGAAACCCCCCCGCAGCCTTATTGAGCATGTCTTTGTCACCGACGTCACCGCCAACCTCATCACTGTCACAGTGAAGGAGTCTCCCACCAGCGTGGGCTTCTTCAACCTGAGGCATTACTGAAGCCTCTGCCCCAGCTGCTCGGGGCTCTGGTCCTACTTTGATAAGTGACCTCGGTCTGGGTCAGGGCCAAGGGGTAGGTGGTCTTTAGCGCAGGCTTGGAGGGGCCTTCTCAGACCCAGCCTTGTCCCCGGACCTGCGATGCTGAGGTCCCGCCTCGCTGCGTTCCTACCTCTCTGGGCTACCTCGCCTCCTCTGTTGCAGGAAGTCTCGCTGGCTGCACGTGGCTTGAACCTCCTGGAAGAGCAGGTTCCTTTAGTGCGGCCTGTGTGGCAGGGTGGCAGCTGCTTTTGCTCCCATTTCCTGGGCACAAGTGTCCAAGGGCTTTTGCTGGTCCACCTGGACCATTCTCAGAGATGGGGTATTGGGGTGGAGGCGCCAGTGGGACTATTCCAGGGAGGGTCCCCGTTGCCACTGCTGGCGCCTGGCTTTAGTTGTTGGCAGCCATGGGGTGGGACAGGGCCCCAGAGAGCTTGGCTTGGGCACCATCTAGCTCAGCATAACACCCACAGCCCCCAGAAATCCAGTGTGGATGGGAGGGGCTGGTCCCTGAGGTCTGGGAGCGGACAGAGCAAACTCACTGCCCCCCTACCCAGGGGCCCCCAGAGTGTGCATCCTGGCTCTGTCTGGAAGAGGTGCTCAGGCTGAGTGATGTTCTCAGTGATCAGGCCTCCTCCACTGCTGGGATTTGTCTGTTAAGAAAGGACCAGCTCGGCCCTGAGAAGCACCTCCACCCTGCCATGGGAGCCCCCAGGCACCAGAGCAGGTGGCTACAGCAGGCTTCTTGTGCCTGCAGACGCTGGCTCTGGTCCCACTGGCCACCTGCCCACATGGTGTCCCCGACAATCCTCCCCTCCACCTTTAGGGCTCCGTGTTCCGCTCCTCCTCGGAGAAGCAGTGTCCCTGTGCCATCTGAGGAAGGTCCAGGTGGCCAGCCTTCATCCCAGAGGCCCTGTCTGTGCTCCCCAAACCCCCACAACTACGTCTTGGCACTGTTCTGTGTGGTCCATGACCCTATCAGAACTCTGTTCTGAGACTGGTAGCGGTGGAGGTGGCAGGCAGTCTAGCCACTGGGTCTTAATGTTGCCAAAAAAGGAAAGCCAGGGAGGTGGGTCTTAGCTTTTCACTCCCTAGTCACATGTAGTCGGCCAGGCCACCACGGTGGGGCATATTGGAGTCGCCTTGATTGCCTAAAAGGCTACCCTCATCCAAGCCAGGCTGGACCAGAGTGGGCCTACAGGCTGTGAGTACAGCAGCCCTGCAGCACCTCACCCGCCACGCCAGATGGGGAGGGCGGCCTTTGTGTAGCCAAATGGATTTCAGCAATGTGCCTTTGCGGGTAGGGCTGTGTGGAGGGCTGCCCAGGTGTACATCCAGCTCCAGCATGCGGTGGCCTCGCTGCTGCTTCAGAAACTGCCCACCCCTGCAGACTGGAGGGCGCGGATGCCCGGCAGCTGTGCTGGAGCGTGTTCAGGGCGGTCCAGGAGGAACCACCGCCCACCAGGGAGGGGAGGTTGCAGCCTGATGGACAGCTGGCAGAGATGGCCCACTGCTGCCACCCCATTCCGTACCCGGCAGCCAGACTGCCTCCTTCAGGGACCTCCAGTTCCACAGCTGCCAGGCTCCTCACACCCTTTGGGGTGGCCCTGGGGTTCCAGGAGCTGTGGGAGAAGTGGGGGTGCTCTCCCCGGCGGCCAGGTCTCGCCAGCCCGTTTGGTGCCTTTTGTTTACCAACTACTTCAGTCCCAAAGTCGAATCTGCAACCTTCCTCCAGCTGCTTTGCCTTTCCGTGTTTTCCTGGTGTCACGACCCAGAGGTTCTGCTGGGAAGCGCGCACACAGGCACGGGCACCCCAAGAGCGGCCCCAGGTGCTCAGAGGTCTGTTTACCAATAAATAAAAGTAGTACCTTTATGTTTTTATTTGCTGCTATCTGTGTGTGTGTCGCTAGGCAGGGCCATATCTCACAATGTGTCGTTATCCCTGAGGGCCCCTCGGGAGCTGTGCCATGTGTTTGTATATTGAGTGGATGTTTGGACCCCCGTCTCGTCCCCTGTGTTGGACAGAAGAAGCGGCCAGTCTGCCCTCTGTTTTAGAGGTGTCGGCGTATTTTTGTATGTATTTTTGGTACCAAAAAGAGCATTCCTTGTTCTGGTCACACTCAGAATCCTGACCCGTCCGGAGAGGACTCTGGGCCTGGGGCCTTCATTAGGGGGAGAGGCAAGCAACAGAACTCTGAGCCAGTGCCAATCACTGGCTTGATTTGTGGTTTTTAATTTAAAACACGTATGCCACTTGTAATTGCTTTAAACTAGGGCTGTTTGCTTTCTGAGCAGAGGACAAAAGTGTGGATGTGATCGCCCTGGGAAAACTTGGTCTCTGGGAACAGGGCAGCAGCCCCATGTTAATCCAGATCGGGCCAGTTCATGGGGATGCCCTCCCAGGGTGCCCATGGTTGGGAGGAGGCCTGGCACAGGAGAAGGTAGCGCCAGGTTTGTGCCCCGCGGCTTCCTGTGGCTGCGCTTACTAGGGTTTGTGGAAACTAACACTAGCCTAGGAGCCTAGGTTGCGGACTTTTTAGGCTGATGTTAATTTATTTTGCGGGGAAATACTTAGTAGATGGTGTCATGGGACTTCTTTTGTTAACACTTAGTATATCAATAAATCTATTTTTAAGCATTCTGGCCTGGCGTGCGTGGTGAGTGATGCATCGGAACAGGTCCTCAGATGGGAGGACAGCCGCAGTCACAGGGTGAAGGACATTCCCAAGTACAGGGTAGGGTTCCATGTGCGAGTCCCTCCATGTGTGGTTCACAACCAAGGGTGGGTTGACATCCCAGGGGACATTTGGCAGTGCCAGGAGATGGTGACATGAGTGTGAGTGCCATCAGCAGCTTGTGAGTACAGACCAGGGATGCACAACAGCCCCCCCCCCACAACAACTGATTGCTGAGCCGTCAGGATGACATTTTGAGAAACTGGCTTAGTGGAGGCAAATGTAAATTTATAATAATGGGGGGGGGCATGGAATGCCCCTGGTATCTAAAGGGTACAAGTCAGGGATGGTACAACACATGCTAAACTGGCTTGGAGATGTCTCCAGTCCAGGCACATTTAAATTCTTCGCTCCCCAAAGGCTGCCACTTGTGGTGACATTAATGGGACACATCTAGCTAGAACATTGCAGGGGAGTCCCTGGCACCAGAAGCTTTGGAGTCAGCAATGCTACTGGGCCACCTAACCCATAGCTCATAACCAAAGAATGATTTGCTTCTCATATAACCTCCCCTGGTCCTTTAAGGGTTTGCATTACCCTTGGCATGAATTTATTCATAAAGTTCAGCCTCTAGGGAGAACCGAGCTTTCTTTGAAGTGAAGAGAGAAGGTGGGCCTTGATACTGCAGCGGTTGGTTGACAGGCTAGCTGGGGGAAGGCCTGAATGTCTTAGTTCTGGAGGAGGTTCTTGCCACAAACAAACTGCAACCTTTAGCTCTAGAGACCCAACTCCAGAAGGGCCTGCAAATTTGCAATCAAATTCTTGCACAGAAGGCTGGTGTGCTTAATCCTGGCTGCCTTCCGGAGGTTCCACTTTGTTTTGGAGCCAATGAACAGGGGAGATCTCAGTGCTGCTGTCCTCTGGCTTCTGAGAGCTGCAGAAAGGAGTTTGGAGACTCCCAGGAAGGGGCAAGCTTGCTGATCAGGAGTAGGCACTGCCCCCAAAGGCCGCCAGACTGCGGTGAGAGCTAATTTCTGCAGGGGTTCGGTCAGACCCATGCGGGGCCCTGGCAGATGCCAGCCTTTGTCAGTTTCTGCGTTGCGGATCTGCTAGCCTAATCCACCATCCTTCCAAAAGAATGGGTTACGCTGCAAGGCGCCTGCCCAGCCCAAGGCTGCTGGGCCTCCAGCACTGCCCCAGCCAGCCCAAGAGTGCCTGGCACAATCAGTGCTGCGGGAATCTGGGAGACTGGCCACTTTTTCTCCCCTCTCCAGCGTCGCGACTCAAGGGCCTGGCCGCAGAGAGGGTGCCTTTGGGTGCAGCTTTCTAAACTGCTGTCCGGACCCAAAAGGCACCACCCTCCTTCGGAGTGGGTGGGCGCAGGGACGTAAGCTGAGGCCGCTGCCTCTAGAGGGCGCGCGCGTCCACGAAGTGCGGGCCGGCGGCGCTTTGGACGTGCGGGGGAAATGCCCCACCGCGGCTCCAGGTTGCCCCGGCGTAATTGCATCCAGCCCGCTCCGTGTCCGAAGGGAAACTCCTGGCCCCGGCCCACGGGTCTCTCGCCGAGCGCAGGCCCGGAGCTGATGGCGGCGCCTTCTACCCTGGACAGGGTGGAGCGCCTATGTCGGATTCCAGCTGGGACTTTTAATGAGCAGAGAAAGCCAGAGCAGGAGCCCACAGAGGCCAGCCTGGCAGCAGCCTGGGCCAGGGTGGGTGCGCTGCGAGTATCGAAGGGACAGGAATGGATGCACTCAGGCCGTCTACGAAAAGCCATCACTGGACCAGTTCAAGCTCGCGCCGGCCACCACACCAGTCTACCCTGCCCTCAAGACGCGGGGAACAGGCCCCAGCTGGAGGCAGCGCCAGGAGCCGCCACCCCTGGTCTCCGCAGGGGTGAGGGATTCCTGGACAATGTGCCAGGACAGGAAGCCCGAAAAGGAGCCCCTAGCCAAAGCCGAAGTTGATGAGCGAACAGAGAAGGAGGGGCAGAGGCGACCTCTCCCAGCTCCTCCGCACCAGCCCCTTCCGCTGCCCCAGACACCCAAGCGCGGAGGCGGGAAGGAGACCGCCCAGGCATGGGCCACCGGCTACTTTCTGGCCAGACGCCCGCCGCGACCTTGGCCCGACCACCTCACGCTGTAGAAAGCCCAGCATGGAGCCTGCCGGCCCAGGGCGTCGCGGGGACGGCCTGGGCACAGACCTTGGACCCCGGTCTGCCTGCGACTTTACTGGCCTGCGGTGCAGCTACTCACGTCGGAAGGACGCTCGAGGCTCCGCGCCCTGCTGCCTGGAGCCGCTCCTTCCTGCCCGGCGCCCCGAGGGCGCCCCTCGGAGCTCACGGAGCTGGGGGTGGGCAATGGGGGGGCTCGGCCAAGCGCAGGAGATGCACATGCACGGGCGACCAAGCACCCACGTTCCTCCCCTGGAGTTCTGCTCGGGCTTCTGGATCAGGCTTCTCAGCGGGGTGACATGTGCGGGGGACTATGGAGTGGGTTAGGGTTCAGTGCGGCCTCTTTGAGGATCCCAAGGGCAGCTCTCCCGCGCGGGCTCCACGCCCCCGCCCCGCCCCCAGCGCTGTGAAGCCGTCCACTCTCCCCTTCCCCTTGACCGTCCTTTGCCCAGCATTGGAGTTCCGGCCCACCAAGAAAAGCGGGGACGAAGAGGCTGGAGGGACTGGGGGTCGCGGGGCTTCGGAGCGGCAGCTCCGGGTTCACTAATCACATCAACGCGCTCTGCGCCGGCTGGGAGCAAGCAGTTGCCTAGCAATGCCCGCGAATTCAATTCCTCAATCAATAGGCGCGAGGCTCTGCATTTCGGGGAGCGCTAGCGAGGCTGGGTGGGTGCGGGGAGCGGGTCCCATGACAGCACAGGGGAGCAGGCCCCGACGGCAGGGGAGTGGGGCTTCGAGGCGCCAGGCCGGCGATGAGCGACGCCCAGCCGGGGAGGAGCGCCAGGGTAGTCTTGTCAGAGGGAAGGGAAACCCCGAGGTCACGCGGTCCTCCCGGGTCCCTGTCTTCTGCCCAGATTCTACAGAAGCACCCCTAAAAAAAAAAAAAAAAAAAAAACAAACACGCCTCCACAGACTGGAGAGTCACCCTGCTCCCGCCAGGCCCACCTCCCCCAGGTGCAGCTCCCCCAGCTGCGGATGGGCCTTTGCGGATGGGTCCATATATTTAAACACGTAGAAAGCGGTATTGGATACAGACATTCCCGACCGCCCAGGGTAAGGTACCGAGGCTGCACTCGGGCTAGGCGGAGACCGCTTGGCCATTTCTACAAACCTTAAAATTAAACACACCCAGCGCGCGCTCCCCGTGCGGGCAGACTCCAGCCAAGTGGCCCCCGGCCCCTGCCCACCCACCACCCGGGTCAGATCCCAACAGCGAGCGAAGGGTGCACACACGCACGGCCACGGACAGACGGCAGGACAGAGGGGCGCTGGGGGCAGAACCAGGCTGGCCCGAGGGAGGGCGGAGGGAAGGGGAGCAGTCACACACACACACACACACACACACACCCGCAGGATGGGTGGTGGGAGCGAAGGGGGAGTAAGGGGCGGCCGCCAGGTACAGAGCACGCCCCCAGTTACCGGCCACTGATAACAGGGATGTCCCTTCAGTGGGGTTTCATCTGAAAATAGCGTCGACATTTAAATAGATACACTCGGTCAACAGCGCTTCTTTATACAAACGAAGTCTAAAATACCAGTTTTACAAATGTGAGCTGATAAAAATCCCCATTCGGGGGCTTCTCTTTATAGGCGCAATTTGATATTCAAAAACAAACAAAACCATGTAATACACCGTTTTCCTCTTGTTCTTCTTTCTTTAAAGGCAAGAAAGTCTGGAGGAGGGCGAGGCTGAGGAACCGGAGGTCGCCAGCCAGGAGTGCGGTGGAGGATGAGGTCGGGGCTCCCTTGCGCCCCCCAACATCGCGCCGCCCCCCTCCCCCAGCTCCGACTCCCCGCCTGGCTAGCCCGGAGTCTGCTCCGCCGGGCGCGCCGGCCCCCGCGCTCCTCCCTCCACCAGCAGTGGGAAGTTAGACCCTGGCTGGCCCTTTAAGGGCGGGGGAGGGGGCGGGGGAGGGCGGGGAGGCTGCGGGACCTGCCCTCCGAGGGACCCGGGTTGGGTGGGGGGCAGATTTGTGCTTTTGAGTCTAAAGAGGGGCGCGCCTTCCGCGTCCTCGAAGCGCAAGGCGGTCTAGTCTGCCGGGGCGGGGACGTCCCGGGACCCGCCGGTGGGCACAGCCTCCCCCGCCGCGGCCGTCTCCACTCCCAGCTCCCGCGCCTCCCTCCCCCTTGGCGGAGTTTGAAAGTCGAGTTCAAATAGAGAACACTCCGCGAATCGAAGAGGCCTATAAATTATAGCTTTTGCTTTTAAGAAGGAGGGAAAAAAGAAAAAGCAAAAGTTCTGATGCACATTCTTGGATGAAAGCCTCGCCTCGCCCCTCCTTTCCCGCGCCCCTCCGGAGCCTCGGGGATGCAAGTCCTGCCCCGGCTGCGGCGGCGGCGGCGAGGGCCTGGGTGCGGAGGGCCTGGGTGCGAAGCCCCTGTTCCGGGCCGCCCGCCGTGCTGCCCGCGGGGGGTCCCGCCGGGTGGGTCTGTCTAGCCCAGCCCGTCGGAGAGCTGGCGGCCCGCCCTCCCGAGGGAGGGGGTGGCTTGTCCAGCTCCTCCGGGGAGAGGGTCTCTTCTCCAGGCGAAGCTAGAGGACGCGGAAAGCAAAAGTTCGCCCCAAACACTTTTCTCTTAAAACCACCGTCGAACTCTGGGCACTGACACGCAATCCTCCCAATTTATCCTGGCATTTCGGGAATGTAAACAGATTGGCTGGATTTCTTTCTGCGGAGTAAGTAAAGGAGTCGAGGGGACGGGAGATTTTAGCCACATGACATACACAGGATCCGCTGTCCAACACTCCCCTCCTCCGTAAAGTGCATTTCCTGATGTGGTCCTGGGGGACCTCCTGCCGCTCCCCACCCACTGATGCCTTACCTTCAACATCACACACAAAAAAGTCATTCAAGTTAATACTTTTTCTCCCTAATAGAATCATTAATCTCAAAAAAAAAAAAAAAAAAGTAAAACAGGATGACCCCACCCCCCTTTTTTCTGATTGGGGAGCCAATCCTTTGTTGGCCTGGCTGGCCAATGTGAAGAGAGAGAAAATCAGTACCCCGCCTTGGGGCCAGAGTCCGGAGGTGGGCAGGCTGAGTCCCTCCAGACACCACCAGAGCCCAGGCTCCCAAATTTCCTAGCACCCTGGGGGAACCCCTCCTGCCCCCACTCAATCTACCTGCCCCCAACTAAACCACATTGGGTTTCTCTCTCTCCTTGTTTAAATAAAACAACTTCAAGAGTTGAAATATATATATTTAGATATTTTTCTTAAATAACATATTTACATCTAATAGAAAATATAACTCTAGAGATAATCTTTCCAACCAAAACTGAAATGAAGGAAGGAGGAACGGAGGGGGCTGGGGGTGTGAAGTCAGGGACAGGACCAGCCAGAAGGCCACAGCCACCCTGAAATGAAAGCACTAAGCCAGGTCTCGCTCACTCTCCCGCCTGCCCTGTCCTGGGCTCACCAACCAGCAACTCATCTCTTCTCTTTAAAAAAGCCTTGGTCCGTGTTACTTTCCTTAATGGTGACGGTCAGAAAGTTTGAGGTCACGTCGGTGACCACCACCTTCTCCAGGTTGGTCAGGGAGGGGCTCCAGGACTCCTCCTCTGGGTCCCCCAGGATTCTGGCCACTGGGATCCTGGCAATGAGGGAGGGCCTGCCCCCTTGAGCCCCCATGTCCCGATACAGGCCCCCCACTGAGCCAGGCGTGCCAGAGCCGTGCCGGACCCTCGGGCCACCAGGATCCAGGGCACTCTGGCCTTTGGCCTCCAGGAAGGCGGCCCTGTGCTTAATGACCCTGGCAGGGAAGGTGTCCACAGCCAGCTTGCCAGTGGCCTCGGCCGAGCTGGGGCTGGTCACACCACACTGCACCAGGTCTGAGTCCTGCCTTCGGGCCAGTTGGATGACGCTGTGGCCAGCTGGGAACTTTCCTGTCCCAGTAGGGGCATCATCCAGCTTCCTGCCCTTGAGGTAATCTCCGAGGCCTTCGCTGGGTTCTCCCAAGGCCCTCTGTGATGGGTCCAGGAGCTCCTTCCGGGGCTTTGGGCCTCGCTTCTTAGAACTGTCTCCTGGTGAACTGGGCTTGTCATCCACTCTGCTGGCGCCCCGCTCTCGCTCTCGCTCCCTCTCCCGCTCTCGTTCTCGCTCACGTTCTCGTTCTCGCTCTCGCTCTCGGTCCCGGTCCCGGTCCCGAGGGGGTTCTGCTCGGCAGGTGCTGCTGATACTGCTGCTGCTCCCCGGTGGAGACAGGCCCATGTTCCGAAGGCCCTCTCGGGCTCGAGAAGTAGAGGCCAGGTCCTGGGGCGAGCGGCCAGGGTAAGGGATCCGGAGGCCCCGCGCTGAGTCACTTCGGAACTCATAAGTTTTGGCCTTTGCCTTGGCCTGAGCCTGCAGGGAACAGTGGTGTGAAGCGTGGAGCAGGGCCAAGCCCCCCAGGACCCCTCCCCCAGCCCCAGCCGCCCAGCTTCACCCTCTGGAGCCTGGAAACGTCCATCTAGGTGGGGAAGGGGGTAGAGCTGAGAAGTGGCAGTTGGGGCCGAGGATCTGTCTGGAAGCAGCCTTGAGTCACAAGCACACTTGTATATTGTAAGAGCCTGTGTCCATCTGGGACAGCTAGGGTATAAAGGAATTCTACTGTGACCCTCCCTCAGGCACCCCTTGGTGCTGCCACCAACTCGGTGACTGGCTGTCCAGGACCCCCTCCTTGATTACAAACAGGCAGTGTATGTGGGCACCCCATTGGTTCACAGCCCTCAGGGCCCCCTTCCTCACAATGTGACTCAACAACATCGCCGCCTGCCATTGGACACTGCCATCCTACCTTGAGGAGGAAGGTTTTGGGTTTGGGTCCTCGCTTTTTGGGGCCGTAGAGCTCCATCTCCCGTTCCCTGCAGAAAGGAGGGAGGGGTATGTGAGTATAGGAAGCAGTGGGACTCCAGTCCCGCGTGGGGACCAGCCACCTTGAGTGTTTCTGGGCAGCTAAGGTTTGGAGGGCTCTGTACCTTTCCTCGAAGGCTGCAAGCAGGCGTGCATCCAGGATGTTTTCTTCAGGCTCCCAGGTGCTGTACCTAAAGGGAATCAGGAAGAAGTGGAGCCAGGAGAGAGGAGAGGGTGTGTACGTGTAACTTTTCTCTTTGCATTGTATCCTATTTCAACGTACAGGGGAAAAGAGGAAGAAAGAAACCTCACAAATAACAGTGTGGGGCTGAGGACTGCATATATCCTACTTACTTCTGCGACCAGCCCTTCCATTTCACGAGGTATTCCATACGTCCCTGCGGGTGCAAAGGGAAAAATATCTGTGTGTGTGTGTGTGTGTGTGTGTGCGCGCATGGGGAGAAATGCACGGCGAGGACACAAGAAATACATGCATGCACCAAATGAATGCTCAAAACCCTACCGCAAAAGGCACGCGCCCGCTGCATAGCCCCTGCACGACACGCTGCACAAAGTGCATGCAGAGGCATTCATCCCCCCACCCCGCCCCCCACCCATGCAATCTGTGCATCGCTGCAAGTCTAAGGAAAGCGCCTGGGCTCAGAGCCGCCGCCGCCGCCACGGCCGCGGCCGCTGCTGGGACCTGGGGGAAGGGAAGCTGGGCTGCAGCAGGGGGAGGGAACCCGGGCCGGGAGGGGAGGGCCCAGCCAGCCGAGGCTAGAGGCCCAGGGACACCTACTTTCCGAATGCGCCGCTTCAGGAGGGCTTCGGCCGCGAACACCCGCTCCCCCACCGCTGAAAGCTCCATGTTGACTCGCCGCTTCCCCCCTTGGCCGCTTCCAGGAGCAGAAAAGCAGCAGCCAGCGCACGACAGACCATAATACTCTCCCGCTGACGTCAGTTCTCCTCCCCCTCCCCGCGCGCTCGCTCCCTCCTCTCTCGGCCCCCCTCCCGCGCTCCTCCACTCGTCTCCCTCCTCCCCTCCGCCCGCGCTTCCTCCCGCCCCACGTGTTGCTAACGACGTTGCTAAAGCCGAGCGGCCAGAGGCCTGCTCCCCCGCGCGCTGATTGGGCGAGTCCCGGGCCACGCCCCTCTCCCTTTCTCCCCCGCGTTGCTACGTGACCCGCGTTCCAATCGCCAGGGGGCGGAGTCCGAGACTGCTCCAGAGACAGAGCGCGGAGCGGGGGGGAGGGATAGAGGCCGCCGCCGGAAGTGACGATACAGGGGGCGGGCACGGCTGCTGTCAGTCTGCCGGGCTGGCTAGGGGGGCCGGCCGCCCTCTGTCCTCGCCCTCAGCCAGCCCCCGCCCCCTAAGCAGACCCCGGCCAGCCCCACCTCCACCGCCCAGGACTCGCGCCCTCCCCTCCCCCGCGCTGCCACCCGTGCAGCACAATGCACAATGCACAGGTGCTGCAACACCGCGGGCTGCTCCCGAACCCCGAGACCCGGCGACGCGCCCGTCGGCCAGCTCCCCGTGCCCGGCCCCCTCCCCCCAGAGCCTCGCACCCGACCCTCGGTCTCCATGGCAACGGACTCCCCCACTGCCGCCAGCCCCATCCCGCTAACAAATCAATGTGCCTGTGTCTCAGTCTCCTGTCGCGCAGCCCTGCCCTCGGCCACCCTCCGGGTCGGCCTGCAGGGCTAGCTTGCGCGCTCTCCCCTGCAAGCCAGTCGAATAAAGCGCTGGTGGAGGCCAGGCCCCCGGGCAGGCCCGCCCGCCCGCGGGGACCCCGCGGGGGACGTCGCGCGCCTTTCTTCTCACCCCAGACGCCTGCAGCCACCTGCCTCTGCCCCCGCCCCCAGCCCGCGCTGCCGGCTCTCTTCAGGTCCCGGGCAGAGTGGCCTGCCCTGGCCGCCGGTCGCCCCGAGTCTGGGTGTGTTAAAGGTTCGGACGACCCTTGTGACAGAGCCATCCGGCTCCCCCAGACCCTGGCGTCCCGCCCGCGTGCTTCCTGTCCACTGCTTTTCCCGACGTGCGGCGCACACCCGGCCAGAAACCGCGGCGGTGGGAAGTCAGTGCGGGAAGGCGTCGCCAAGTCCAGCGTTAGGGCTCGGCGGGAGGGCCTCACGCACGAAGATGGCGGGCTCCCGGAAAGGGGGCCTCGGCCGGGACGCGGGAGCTTCGGCGTGCGCACACACGCACACGCACGCGCCAGCTTTCCGCCAGCTCCAGTCGCGGTGACCCGTGGCGGCGCGGGCTGCAGCGGCAGTCTAAGTCCAACACCCGCTCCCGGCACCCGCGATTTAGTTAAAACATCGATGAACCCGACCAAGCGGCTTCCCTGGGCCAGGGAGAGGGAGAGGGGGAGAGAACGATAGACGGAGCGCGAAGAGGAGCGCCAGAAAGTCCGGCTCCAGCCGTCAGAAAGTGCAGAGCGGAAGACCGGCCTCGGGTGTCAAGTGAGATGCACGCCGCGCGGTCCTCCACCCGAGGGGCAGGCGCCGGGGCAGGCGCGGCGCTGGGTCCGCCTTTCTCCCACCCCCACCCCTCGCCCTGGAAACGGGGTTCCAGCTTCTGGTCTCTCAAGCTTCACAAGGTGGGCGGTGAATGGTCTCGCCACTCCGGCCGTTCTGTCTTAACGAACAGCACCTCAACGACGGCCAGATCGCCGGGCGACCCGCACCGGCCGCCCGCGAGAGGCCGCCGACGGCCGCGTCCTTAATCATAAAAAGTCATTCCCGGTAACAAATAGTTCCGTCGGCCGGTGCCAGCGGTACAGCTGTTTCTGTTTAAGCTTAAATACTTACCAACAGTTTGGGCAGTAAAAATAAAGTCGGCCTCAGCCGCCTATAAGTGTCTGGTTTCCCCGCCCAGAGAAAGCCCACCCTCCTCCGCCCTGGGCCCGGGTCGTTCTGCCCCGCCCGCCCCCTCTTGGAATCCGCTGCCTGCGGCTGCCGGGCGCCCGGAGTCCCGCGTGGGCCGCCCCAGCTCCAGGGCCGGCTCCAGGGCCACATTACAGGCGGAGGAGGGAGGCTGAGCTAGCCAGGGGACCAGACCCTCCTCGCCTTCCGCCCCCACTCCTGCAAGTTGGCCTGGCAGGCGGAGAGTGGGCTTTCCCTTCCGTTTCTGGAGCTGTCCCTGGAGCTGAGCTAGCGCTGGGTGCCTTTACAGACCAGGCTTGCCGAAGCCGTGGTTTCAGTTTCACGTTGAAAAAGCTACCACCCTCCTCCCTGTGTTTCTTCCTTCTTCCTTCCTTCCTCCCTCCCTTCCTTCCCGTCTCCTTTTTCCTCTTTGTCTCATTTTCCTTCTCTGCCTAAATATGTCTGAAGCTTGAAGTAGGGGGAGGAGGCAGCCCACCCCCACCAGGCACAGTCCCCTTGAAGTAGGGGGAGGAGGCAGCCCACCCCCGCCAGGCACAGTGCATCCTCTGCAGGTATCTGGTCATTGATTTGGCTTTCCCATCTCGGGTTTTTCCTGCCAGTCTGTACGCCTGATGGCGATTCTTTGGGAAACACTTGCTCAGAACAAAATGATCCGCTTGGGATCATTGAAGCGTCTGAGTTTGCAAACATCAGGGATTCCTGGAGAACCCATGGCCAAGGTGGAACTCAGAAGGGGACTAGAGCCACGCAATAGAATAAGCTGGCCATAGCGGCACAGAGTGCTCTCAGTCCCACAGAGGAAGGGGACCAAGACCGCAGAGGTGTCACTCCTGCTGGTGCACCCTGCCCCAGCTGCCCAGGAAACAGCAGGTTTGCAGAGAGTGGGAAACGGGTCCTTCACTTCTCCACGGTTTGGAGAGGAGGGGAGACATGCCGGTCTGAGAAGCGGATTGCTGTCCCACCGGATCTGGACTGGGACATGGCTTGATGGGTATGGGAAGATACCTGTGTGTGCGGGAGAAGGCGCTAGCATGCCAGGGCGTTGTATCACTGTGGCCGAGTGGACCATCAGCTGGTGGCACTGTCTTCAGAACCAACAGGAAACTGTTGGTGCCCACCTTTAGTACTGAACCTCCCTTCCCCACCGACTCAATTCTCACTACCTCCCTTCTTTCCTCTACAAAACCCCTTTCCACCTTCAAAGTTAAAGCATTGCTTTCCTCACGTGCAAACCCCCCCCCCCAGGAGTAAACAAGTTCAAAGGACAGAAACCCCTGGCTCCTAATCCTACCGGCCGGCAGACTGCTGCGGCTGCGGCTGCGGCAGCCAGGTTTGCGTGCGCCGCCTCTGCAGTAAATAAGGTAACTGCTCCTTGTTACTTTAGCCCCATATGGCTGCAATTTGAGTGTCTTTGGAGACGGTGCGCGTATTGGGGCGGGGGGAGTGAAAGTGGAAATCAAATGTTCTCAGATCGCATTTTTATGAAGGAAATTGTCAGCGATTCTTTTAACCGCCCCCCCCCCCAGGAGCTGCCTAGCCTCTTTGTTTACGGAAATGCAGGCACCCGCCTGCTAGGGGACACCTGCTCCCGAACCCTTGGGTCGTCTGCCTATTCTGCACTCTCCTGGTGACCTGAGCGCACAGCCTCTCCCGCCTTTCGGACAAAGGGGCGTCAACCTGCTCCTGGGAACACCCGAATCCTCCCCCCAGCCTTTAGAAAGGTGCTGGGACCGGACCAGAAGTCCCGACCGTGCCCCAGGCCCAGTCCCTTGCGAGCCCTGAGGCCCCTAGTGCTCCCAGTCCAGAAGTTTAGCCTCTTTTGAGGGAAGCCAGAGGGGCCAGGTCTGAGAGGAGGGAGGGCCGGGCGGGACGTTTGACTCCCAGGTCTCCAGCCAAACCAGCAAGCCCCAGCGCGTCCTCTAGCTCCAGGCTGAGGCCGGGCCTCGGCTGGTTCTTTGGGAGCGTTTCAACTCCGCGGTTTGGCGGGTGTCGGACCTGCCCGGTCTTGGCCGTGGATGCGGGCAAATTTGGAACACGACCGTTTGCCTCCAGCCGGCTGGCTGTGAAGTGAGCGCGGGCAGCACGAGGGGTGGCGGTGTGGGCGGGCGGTCGCTGTGTGTGCAGCGGCTGTGCCTGGTGGCTTACCACCCGAAGCCCCGCAGCAGGGGTGGTGGGGTAGTGGGGAAGATGTTCCTCCGCTCTGCTCCCCAGCGCTGAGCCTGGGCTGGGCACCTGCAAGGCGTTGATTGCACCCGCTGCTGGGTGCCCGCAGTGACCCACACTGCCTGGGCTGGCTGGCCAGGTACCTGGCCTGGGCTCTCCCTCTAGTTGTTCACAGAGCAAGAAGCTATTCCTGTCTCGCCTTCTCCTCCCTGGTCCGGTTCAGAGCTTCTCTCATAGAGAGGCAGGGGGACAGGCTGACAGGGACAAGGGACACTCCACAGCAGAACCACAAGCCTGGACACTGGAGACATCGTCTTTGAGTTCTGCCCTAAATCATAGGAACGGAACTCAAGCTCCCTCCCTTGCCATCCTTATTCTCCAAGGAGTTAAACATGATACTTTGCCGTTGCTGCGTGCATTGTCCCAAGTAAAGGTCACATCGACCAGGTAGGGGACGTTCTGCTATCCCGCTTTTGAAATGAGGAGACAGGCACAGTGAGAACAAGCAGCTTGCCCAGGGCACACGCGGGGTCCTGCCTCCAGTCCTCCACTCCAATCCAGAGCAGGGGTTTTGAGCCCTCTTGACACTTCAGTTCCTCCAGGGCTTCAGGAAAGAATTCAAGTTCAGAAAGAGCTAGTGGGAGCTCCTGGGACCTGTCCCAAACGAGGCCTCCCCAAGGACTTCCGCAGAATAACAGGAACTTCTCAGGAACTGCAGATCGCCCAGTCAACCCAGCTGGAGGCTGAGTGTGGAAAACTTTGTTTTTCTGCATGGTAGGGGCTGAAAGAGTGGGCTCCAGAGCCAGCCTGCCTGGGTTCACCTCCACTTGCTCGCTGTGTGCCCTTGTACAAGTGACTTAAGTTCTCTGTGTGTTCGCCTCCCTTACTGTAAAAAGGGAATGTTAACCTGTCTACCCAACAGGACAGGGGGAGCCGGCAC